GTTGGTGGTGTCAACCTTTCTGAAAAATAGTCAGTTGGGAAGGATTCTCCCATAGTACTATGGAAAATCATATCGCCATGTTCCAGTCACCACCAACCCGTTGGCTAATTTTGCCTATAGTAGGACTAGGGCTTCCCGGTGTTTTCTGGACCATTCCATGACCATTCCATGACCATTTCAACAGCACATGTCACCGCTTTTCAACCTCCAAGAGACTTGGCTCCGGCCGCCAAGGTGTTGCTACCGTTCCTGGTGGCGATGATTTCACCAGCGATGGTTTACCCGTGGTGAACTTTTTGGGGATGAGGCCCTCTGGTAAACGTTTTTTGATCGTTTACAGAAAACTATGGGAAGAAAAACACCATGCTATTTTTATGGGACAATCAACTATTTCGACTGGGCCATTGTCAATAGCTATGTTAAATTACCAGAGGGTAACTAAAGCATGTGGGTCTCTGAAAATTTGGGGGTACCTCTAATGGACCATCCAGAAAACTCACATAACCGAAAGGTCCAAGCGCCTCCCGCCTTGCGTGAACGGAAAACTCACATAACTATGAAAAATCACAATGTTTCCTAGGTCAATCACCAGGTTCTTGTTCCATGGCCATGTTAGTTTGCCAGAGGCCAAGGCAGATCACACAGTGCCAATTCATATCCTGAACATGCCAGAATTGTCAACAGGTTGGGATGGAGAAAGCATGCCCCATATCGATTGCCATCGCACACACCATTTCCGGACAAACTCCATATTGTTGGTAGTTGCTTACAGCATCCCATGAATTCCTATGGTTTTATTCGGTGATATCCAGTAGTATCTCAATGTTGGTTGAATCTCTGGTGTTTTTCCTACTTATCTTCCAGTGTTCAAAAATATCCCACTACATGCAATCTTGAATCCCCACTCTATTTCAAGTTTCTCCTCATCATTAGCTGGACATATCCAATGATATCCCCACTATATATATACAATATATATATACAATATATATATATATACAATATATATATACACACGGTATATATGTGCATATATATATATATATATTCATTCTACATATCTATATGTATATATATATATCATGGTTACTTGATGTTGCGTGATTCCTTTCATTTTCGTCATATCTCGTGATTTTCCTGTCAAAGTGCCATGAATAGCCCAATATATCTCATTCTGGTTGGTTAAATCCCCCACTGATGTCCCCTCTCCTTAGAATTTCTCCAGATATACCCAGATTGCAGAGGCCAAAGCTGCTATCCCAGCACGAATCCCAAATTAACATCCCATTCTATCCCATGAATTTCTTACTAGAAATCCCATGGATCCCCCATTCGAAATAATGCTTTCAGGACTCTCCCGATCATTCCAGCCCATTTATATTCCATGAATACACCATTTCAAATGTCAAATTCCAAGAGGATTCTCCAAAAGGTCCATGGATTGCTCGTTCTCCAAAAACGTCAAATCAGCACACCGAGCAGCGGCGGCGCTGCCGCTGGTGCCGGCGCAGAACTTGGGGGGTTCGGCACCTTGACCAACCGGTTGGGGTCTGTGGATAGGGATAGATGTGATGGTGATATACGATCTGGTTATGACTCACATAGCCACATAGCCATGGAAAGATCCACCCATTTTTAATAGGTAAACCATCTGTTTCAATGGGCCATTTCCCATGGCTATGTTAAATGACCAGAGGGTAGATGTGATGGTGATATAGCTGGCAATATAAGAGTGGAGTCTTTCTGAAAATGGCTGGTATACCGTCAATGAAAAGGCCATGTCATGCCATGGAAAATGAGGTGTTAAACCATCAGATTGGGATGCTGTTTTTACACAAACCCATGTGGTGGTATAGAACTGACTAGCCATGATATGGGTATATATATTACGGAATACAATGGCATAGAATGGGATATGAATATACATATATGTACATCTATATACTATATACATGTATACATATATATACATATATATATAATAAGTATCATATGTGTACTTTTTACATACATATCATTACATATCTATATATTTATATATAATTACACATATATCGCTAGGGGGCTCACGTTTGCCCATTTGTTTCCCGGAATTCCATGCGGGACCGCAATCTACTCTGATGTTCCGGCGCGTGTTTTTTCGCAAATATCGATATTACCTGCGTCTCATGTCATTTTTGTGCTAAGTTGCAGTGCTTCGAGCCGTTCACTGAAACCGCAACAAACCAGAAAGCCTTAAAAGAACCCCCAAAGTAACCCCACCTTAAATAAACCCTAGACAAACCCTACTGTAAGCCAGCCCCAAATCAATCATGAATCATGAATAGCCCTAAATGAGCCCTAAAACAACCCTGAATAAACCCTAAGCAAGCCTAAATTGCACCAAACATTAACTAGACAAACCCCAAAATAAACCCAAAGTAAACCCTAAAGCAACCTTAGATAAATGCTAAACTAACCCCAAAAGAACGCAAACCCCAATGAAACTTTGGGCAAACGTCCGCCCCGGAGGGACATACAGTAGATGGACAAAAAAATCAAACCCTACAGATGCCTACCAAGTAAACCCCCAGGCCCCAAATTTCAATCTTGCACAAAGTTCTATATAGCTTCCTCTGCGTTCGGGTTCGATTTTTTTGTCCACCAGCCCCAAGCGCGCAGCCCACAGGCAACATTGAAATTTGGGGATGCGGGGGCGACGACAATACAGCAGAGGTTTGATTTCATCGTCCATCTACGGTATGACACATACATATATATATATACATATAATTATGCATCTCTTTGTAGAAGTACATGTACATACATGTATTTACATGTATATATGTATATGTATATATGTATATGTATATATGTATATGTATGTATGTGCATATATATATACTATACACATACTTACATTACATTACATTATAGTGACGGACTGAAACTTAGAATGCCGCCATGTTTCTCAAGATTTTTAACGGTCGCACTTAGAATGCCTTTTTTTTGGCCTCACTTAGAATGCCTCCAGCGCCAAAACGTTCAAACCTGCGAGCTGGACTTTTATGAGGCATTCTAAGTGCGCATGATTATCGCCATATTTGGAGACCCTTTCAATATTTTTTTGGTCCAAGGCATTCTAAGTTTCAGTCCGTTGCTATTAGAGATATAGACTTAAACTCTTGATGGTATATAAAATTTATTATATAATCCCCTGTTCTGGTGTGAATATGCTAGTTGTTGTCCCCTAAATCGCATTTGTGAGTTTCAGGAGAAAGGAAAGGAGAAAGGAAAGGAGAAAGGAAAGGAGAAAGGAAAGGAGAAAGGAAAGGAGAAAGGAAAGGAGAAAGGAAAGGAGAAAGGAAAGGAGAAAGGAAAGGAGAAAGGAAAGGAGAAAGGAAAGGAGAAAGGAAAGGAGAAAGGAAAGGAAAGGAAAGGAGAAAGAAAGGAGAAAGGAAAGAAAAGAAAGGAGAAAGGAAAGGAGAAAGGAAAGGAGAAAGGAAAGGGGGAAAGGAAAGGAAAGGAAAGGAAAGGAAAAAGGAAAGGAAAAAGGAAAGGAAAAAGGAAAGGAAAAAGGAAAGGAAGAAAGGAAAGGAAGGAAAAAGGAAAGGAAAAAGGAAAGGAAAAAGGAAAGGAAAAAGGAAAGGAAAAAGGAAAGCAAAAAGGAAAGGAAAAAGGAAAGCAAAAAGGAAAGGAAAAAGGAAAGGAAAAAGGAAAGGGAAAAGGAAAGGAAAAAGGAAAGGAAAAAGGAAAGGAAAAAGGAAAGGAAAAAGGAAAGGAAAAAGGAAAGGAAGAAAAAGGAAAGGAAAAGAGGAAAGGAAAGAGGAAAGGATTGGTGTGGCATTCTAAGTGTTACAAATGCAGCCGGGAGGGACAAAAATCGTCAAGGAAAGCATAATTCATGTGGAAATCAGCAAAAATCATAAAACACATGCCCCCAAAACCCTTGGACGCATTCTATGTGTAACATTTTTGGCAGGAGAAAGGAAAGGAGAAAGGAAAGGAGAAAGGAAAGGAGAAAGGGGAGGAAGGAAAGGAGGAAGGAAAGGAGAAAGGAAAGGAGAAAGGAAAGGAGAAAGGAAAGGAGAAAGGAAAGGAGAAAGGAAAGGAAAGGAAAGGAAAGGAGAAAGGAAAGGAGAAAGGAAGGAGAAAGGAAAGGAGAAAGGAAAGGGGAAAGGAACGGGGAAAGGAAAAAGGAAAGGAAAAAGGAAAGGAAAAAGGAAAGGATACCTCCCATGAGATTGGATTTATACAATTATTCATATGAAATAGTAAATATATACAATCCTTCAAACCATGTGTTTCATAAAAGAACAGAGATTTTGCAACATAATGATAACATTTGTATTTGTTTTTGGCGGCATTCTATGTGGGCTGCACAAAGTACATAACACCCCGCGTATACCGAGTATTTTGAAAATATGGGCTTCAAATGTTTGACATGCTGCGACCGGGACTTTTGGCCGGAGGCATTCTATGTGTGGCACTCAATCTCATATTACGCTGTAAATTCTCACAAAATTTACCTACGAACGATTCATTAAAAAAAGTACCTGTAAAATTACAGGTACCCGAAAATTGCATTTTACCAGGGTTTTTTAAGATTTTGCCCCCGCGGCGGCATTCTTTAGGACAGCGCGTCCGGAAGGGGTGCGGCATTCTAAGTTTCAGTCCGTCGATATAATATAGTTTCATTGGTTGTGTCATCAAAACCACTGAACAAGCGTTTCTGCTGGATTGATGAGTCACAGGCCTTGGACCTCATGAAGGGAAAGTTCAGGAAGCTTGGCAGTTTGATTTATGTTGATTTCTATTCGTCATAGATCCTTTGTTTGTTTAGTTTCCTTGTGTATCTCCACTGTGTACCCGCTGACTCTGCTGACTCTTTGCAGATGTGCTCCCAGATGAGAATGTTCGAACGCACAGAGCCTTTTCTTCATGCTTCACCGCTTCACCTCATCTCGGGGGGGGCGGCAATATGGTTTTGTGAAAAAGCCGCCGCTGGCCCAAGCTCTGACCGAAGCACCACGACGCGAATAGATGCGAACAGGAGCAATGGCAAAGAAAGATCTGGACCAAAGGCACAAGCGCTTGCTGGCGCGGCTTGCTATGGGCATGTGTGGCCTGTGTGGCTTACAGATGTGGGACATGTTGACGATGACCCGGGAGGCCCATGAGTTCCAAAGACTTCCGCATCCCAGAGCCTTCATTGGGAACGTCATGGCTGACACACCTGACCTGAGCGGTGACCGTCGGCAGAAGGCAGCCAAGCGGCTTGCTGAAGCAAAAGAGGTGCTGGATGAAGCCCTGGAACTAAAGGCCGCTGGCGTGTCTGGAAAAGGTCTTTGGTACAGAGTCATCACTGAGGGTGAAGATGGCATCGGGATTCGGAAGGCCCCTAGGATGGATGGACCACGCGTGGAAGACCTCGTTCGTGGCAGTGTGTTTGAGGTGGATAAATTGATCCAGAAGGAGGGTCAGCCGATCTGGCTACACTTAGATGATGGCCGTGGTTGGGTTTTTGATTTGACCCCAGTTGATTCAGACACGCCAACGGTGGAAAGAATACAAGGCGCTTACGAATATGGCAGAACCATTGAAGAACTGGAAGCGGATGTCGAAGCGGCGAGATTGGAACTAGACAGGATCCGGGGAGCAAAACGAGGTGCTTCCTGACTTCATGACACTTTTTTGCTGTGCCATTTGATTGGCCCGCGGCAATGCTTTGGAGAGACCAGCGTCCATGAAAAAGCTTGCAACTCTGACATACCATTTGATATCTAAATCAATCATTCATATCATTCTAAATCTATCTATATGAATCTCAAAGCGTTTTGCAACAGGAAGTTTGAGACTACACTCTTGAGAAAGATTCGTGATGAAACCCAGGAGAGCCTATCGTGCGGACCTACCTGGTGCCAGGACCTTTGAGGCAGCACAGACATGTCATGTGGGGGGGGTGGTGCTTTGAACACTCCACACTTGGTTTTCCAATGCCTTTCCCTGCCCTTGTAGTTGGTTTATGTTGTTTTATGTCCTGGTGCGTAGTGGATTCGACATACATCTACAGCTGTCATGACTATCACATATGCTTATCTCAACGGCCTCCTGACCTACTGCCTTTGACATTTGAAGGATGTGAGCGATCCTGACCCTGCACCCACAGGCTGGGAATCACATGGAATTACCAGCTTCGTTCAGGTTCGTTAAGCTCTTGGCTTCCACTCCCTTCCACTCCCTCCATCTCCCTCCTGAAATTTCTTCAGGTGTGGACTTGATCCTGGCCCGCAGTGGCGTGCAGCTGCATGTCGCCATTGAGGTGGGCTTTGATGCACTCATTTTGAGGTCCAGTGCCCCAACACAGTTGGTTGCAATACATTGTATACGATATTTTGATATATTTTGGATTTTACCGATATCGATGCCTATGTATGCCGATCTTAACAAGAATCTATAAGTCTGACATGCGTCGATAAGTCGATCTTGTGTCAAGCGACACCTTCCGAAGATTGTTACTGCGCCATGTTGCGCCTGTGAGGCAGTTCTTGCTGCCATGCCAGAAGGCCAGGATATTCTTGTCATTGTCCAACCGCCGTGCGGCACTGAGCTCACGTCGTTTAGAATGTTGGGAGATTTCAGATTGGCGTCGACCAAGGTTAGTCGGACCTCCACTAGACCAAGAAGGCCACAGCAGGGCGGCATGCTAAAACATGCTAAAACCATCAAAGCACCAAGCATGTTTATGGCCTCAAGGACTCCTGGACTCATGTTTAATTATAGAGCTTCATTTTCCATCATTTTCCCACATATTCCAGCAGATTCATTTCAGATTCTGAATCTGACTGCGGTCCAGGCAGTGAATCTCCAAAGGACGAGAAGAAGGTGACTGAAGAGTCCTTGCTTGGAGCAGGTACGCCTCCAACTGCGTCGATTGTGACACGAGTCATGCAGATCGAGTTCTGCTCGAGTTTCTGCTCCATTTTCTTGATATCTCTTGAAGCTAAGAAGATTTTCAGGTGCAGCCGGGGTGGTTTTTGTTGATGGACGAGTAGATGGCTCCGTTCAAGCAAGGAGGAGAGGGTTCAAGCATGGTGTTGCTATGTAATTTAGTAATCAATGCTGAAAATTAAATTTTCGATCATTTCGATCTTAGCTGTGCTGCACTTGTGGCCAACTCAGCCGTTTGCTATGCCATTCATTGTCATTCGGTGTGCAGCTTGTTGACATCAGCTAGCGACATTACTGCAGGATCCTTCTTGGTGGGCTCCGTGAGATCAGGCTGGAGCGTGTGCTACTAAAGATGCTGATAGACCCTGAAAGATGTTGAAAGCATGGCCACTTGATGCCACATGATCCACATGTTTATTCCCGGAAACAATAGGTTGATTTGTGCCATGTTGGGAATCCTGCATGCGATTCCAGGAATCGGAAGAATGAGCAAAAGCCAGAGGGCCTGTGGGACGAAGAGGATACACAGCAGCAATACTTCCTGAACCCTGCCAGACTGCCAGACTTCAGATGCATTTCAAGATAAGGTATGTATGGCAACTTGCCCAGTGAATCATTTGAAACCTTGATAGATTTGATAGGCTAGAAGTACTTGGAATAATTTGGAAGTCAGGATGAGTCATTTGCGTCACCGGCGCCAGGACAAAGGCACCTTTATCAATCCATTCTCTGAGAAGGCGCAGGTGCTCTTCGACATTCGCAAGAGCAGGAGACCCGAGAGCAACCGCAGACATGAAAATATAACGTCCAGGGGTCCTAAGGGCCCTGGATGCCCTAGGAGATCTTAGGAGAATCTACCATTTAGCTGCATTTAGGATGCTGAAGGACGACTCGGAATGGGCAATTAATGGGGCCAAAGGACAAATCATGATGACTCCAAAGGGCTTATATAAGGAGACACAGACCAGACTCACAGACTTCCACTGCCTTCGTGGATTTAATTGGCATCGATGTTTTCCTCATTCAGACCAAATCCAAAAGCATTGAAAGGACGGGTGATTCCTCTGATTTGCTCTGTACGGGTGGCTGTTTGGACCTTGTCCGTGGCAGCCTCACGTGCAACACAGAAGAGGCTGGGTCGGCACATCTTCACTGGGCACATCTTCACTGGCTCATTGCTACCTGCACTGCTTAGGTTGGCCATGCTATGCCATGCTGAAAATATGAAAAATCATGAGCGAGCCTTGTAAATGCAACATTGGCATGTGCGACGCAGTCTTTAAGAGGACCGAAGAGGAGACAACCATGTGCAGCGGGTATGATTATGCCATATCATCATTATTATCATTGTTATTATCATTATTATTATTGATAGTTAATATAATATACTATGCCCACATATGCCGCCAGTATAGCTGCATGGGATATCATGGAATATGGTCAGCGCCAAAGCCCCAAATGCAATGTACTGTCCGACTTTCTTTGAATAAGAACATGAGAACAAAATGAAAAACATGTCTGTAGGAATCAAAGAGAATGAAAGAGAACGAACTGCCAGTTGCAGTCACAAGAGGTTTGAACTTATATATATATATGTGTAGAGTAACTTAGAGATACTTAGAGTGCCGGCCTGCTTTGATCTGCGCCATGGATCCTATTCCTGTGACAATCATTGCCGGTTCTTTTGCATGTGGGAAGACTACCCTGTGCAATCAACTGCTTGGTACGCTCGGCCCAGCGCAGAGAAATGTGGCAGTGATCTCTCATCGTTTTGCAGAAGAGTGCCTTACTGCATGGTCACTTTTCGTATTTGTTTTGCTGATCATTTACATTGTGGATCACCTTTGGGGTCTCCTCATTGTGTGGCATTGTTCTCTGTCTCTTACATTCCCTTGGGAGGATTTTGCAATTTCGAGGTATGCCTGTCAGCCTGTGGTGCTTCATGAATCTCACTGTGGTTTGCTCGAAGAAGTCTACGACTATGGTAGCGGCTGCTTGTGTTGCACTCCCGGCGGTGAACTAAACCAACGTCTCAACAACATGATGATGTGGGGCCGCTTCGCTGGAAAAAAGGCAGCATATCCAGACCCTTTGGGAGATAGCTAGCTTCATTTGGAAGGATTAGGAACACAGCCGTGGTTTGATAATGTTTGATATGTTTTGGTTTTGCAGGCAGGTTCCCAATACTGGGTCCTGGGGTTAAGTTGTTGCATCGCTGTTTTGTCGTAGCAGATCAGCGTATAATCCAGATCAGTGTCTCCAAGACGAGATGCTACATGAGTTAACCCAGTTAACCCTGCCGCTTGTAGGCTTGTGCATACACTTAGATATTATTTAACATGTGCAGTATTATACAGAAACATTTAGTTGGCTTGCCATAATACGTTGCCAGAGGTTGCCGTTGCCATAACTTGTCAACCTGTCAACCTGAGGTGAACGGTACGACCATGTGTTGATTCGCACGGGGCCAGCTGCCGATCCCTTGCTCTTCGCTGACGCCGTGCAGCGGAGCAGCGCCTATCGTATTTCCGGCCTTGTGACAGTGGTTGACTCTGCCATGCTACTAGGATCATTTTGAGTCATCATGTTCATTGTTCATACAGTAAATAGAGGGGGAGAGAGAGAGATATGATATTCATTGATATTATATATATATGCATATATGTAAATGATATTAAATGATATATGTGTATATATATATACACAGTTATATACACAAGCATGTACAATTTGTACATGTATTATATGTTTGTGCATGTTTGTGCCATGCTACTTATAGCACCACATGTGGTTCTAGCGTTTGTCAGTTGAAGTTTCGGACCGACAAACGCGCTCCTTCCATCCTGGGATCCATTTGTATAATTAGGTTGTATCATGTTGTATCTGTCTTCATCTGTGCCCCTTATCATTTGTGCCTCTCTTTGGCCAATTCAATACCTAACCAGGGTCTAAACAGATCTAAGCGAATCATCTCAAATGTAAACAACAACTAGGAACAAAAACAACTAAGCATGTTCCGTGCCTCCTGCCCCGTCCCGTGATTTCTCTCGATTTATTTGGTAAGGTTTGGGTTGGTGACTTGCACAAAGAGGGCATCAAATGAAGACCTTATCAAACGGTTTCCATGATTCCACGAATGGTAATAGAGAGAGAGAGAGAGAGAAATTCCAAGAAACCAGGGGAGTGGAGAATTGAAGATACGTGACGCATAAGTAACATCTTGATGTTGAAGGGACATGAAAACAAAATAACACAAACCCACATGGAAAGAATCACCTTTGAATCCCGGAGGCTTTGCTTTTCAGAGCAGCTCGTGTCTGGATCTTCCTTGGAGCAGCTGCGTGCCGCAGATGTGCTGCTGTTGCGATCATCCAAGGCCTTGGTGGAGAATCGTGCAGGTATTTGCTCACCTATGCTGCTGCTGCTGATGATGATGATGATGATGACGATGAAGTAATGGCAAAGACAAATTCTTGTCAGAAAGCTCAGATGCACGTTGAGGTAGTGCTGTACATATTTTGATGTTGGTTTTGCCGGAACCGTTTCACCAGACGCCGACAAGTGTGGCTTGTTCACTCTGGTGGAAGGTCGGAGAAGATGTAGAAGCCGCCCGGGAGGAACTCCAGAAACTCTTGCGAATGCAGGACCTTTGCTTTGGGAGATCACCCACCCCTAAAAATGTATTTTAGGGGGGGAGAGGTCAGGTAAAAAAAATACATTTACCGTTCTCCAAGAATTTGATTCCCCAGGACCCCCCCTAAATACATTATTTGACCGGTGGGTGTACGTTAAATGTAGGATCCATGGGTCGGGATATCCAACCCCCCCCAGGATCTTTTATTTTGGGGGGGTGGTTTAATACATTTTACGGGTTTGGTTTTTCCAGGATCCCCGGGAGTGTTTAATTTTTTTCTGGGGAATGCCCTTCTTTGAAAAATGTATTTTAAGGGGGTTGGGTAGCCGAAAAGCACATCATTTTTGGAAAATGGAGGGAATAGATCTGGCTAAGGTAGTCATTGGTACCCCCTGCAATGCATACATTTCAGGATGATGCAGGCCAAAAACGGTCCAACCCGAACAAATCCTGACGAGGCCCATCGAGGTCCCATGAAAATAGTGTCATGTCTTCGGAGTGGGAGCGATGCGTGCTTGATCGTGTTTGCATATGTTTATATATGTTTGCATGCGTTTGTTTCCAAAAAAAATTAAAGCGTAAGCTAACAGGGTCTTCAGCGCAGAATATTTTCGGTGACCCCAGGTATTCCCAGGTTTCCCCATGGGTTTCAGTAGGTTTCCCAGGAAAAAAAAGATCAATTGGATTGAGGTGCAGACCTCCCCATGCTTGCATACATTTAGAAAAGTCTATGTATCCATTGGCTCTTGTCAGTGGTGCCCCCCACAAAGCATACATTTTCAGGTTCAATACCCCTACCAATAATACATTTCCAGCATCTGGCACTCATACATGCCTCATTTTGAGGGGTTACCCCCCCTAGTTCCCATACATTTTTGGCAAAAAGTGAGGGGGCGTACGATGGACAGTTCGAGGGCTATTTGGCAGTTAGCAGCTACCCTATGTGTTTACATGAGAGTCGATAATGATAAGTAGGAGCCCTGGAGGCGCTGAGGGCGCTGAAGGCGCTGAGGGCGCTGAGGGCGCTGAGGGCGCTGAAGGCGCTGAGGGCGCTGAAGGCCCTGAGGGCGCTGAGCGCGCTGAAGGCGCGGGCGCTGAAGGCGCTGAAGGCGCTGAAGGCGCTGAAGGCGCTGAGGGCGCTGAAGGCGCTGAGGGCGCTGAAGGCGCTGAGGGCGCTGAGGGCGCTGCGGGCGCTGAGGGCGCTGAGGGCGCTGAGGGCGCTGAAGGCGTTGAGGGCGCTGAGGGAGCTGAAGGCGCTGAAGGGGCTGAGGGCGCTGGAGGCGCTGAGGGCGTTGGAGGCGTTGAGGGCGCTGAAGGCGATGAGGGCACTGAGGGCGCTGAGGGCGCTGAAGGCCCTGAGGGCGCTGAGGAGGGGCTGAAGGCGCTGAGGGCGCTGAAGGCGCTGAGGGCGCTGAGGGCGCTGAGGGCGCTGAGGGCGCTGAGGGCGCTGAGGGCGCTGAAGGCGCTGAAGGCGTTGAGGGCGCTGAGGGCGCTGAAGGCGCTGAGGGCGAGGGCCGTGACGAGGCGCTGAAGGCGGGCGCTGAGGGCGCTGATGGCGGGCGCTGAAGGCGGGCGCTGAGGGCGCTGAGGGCGCTGAAGGCGCTGAGACGCGGCTGAGGGCGCTGAAGGGCTGAGGGCGCTGAAGGCGCCGAGGGCGCTGAGGGCGCTGAGGGCGTTGAGGGCTGAGGGCGCTGAGGGCACTGAGGGCGCTGAAGGCGCTGAGGGCGCTGAGGGCGCTGACGGCGCTGAGCGCGTTGAACGCGCTGAGGGCGCTGAGGGCGTTGAAGGCGTTCGAGATAGTGAGGGGTTAGAGGCGCTCTTCTTGATCAAGCCGATCTGCTTGATCTTCTCTTCCTCTTATTGCGTTTCTTTGCATTCGCTACTGATGTTGTGCTTCTTGATTTTCTTGATGTTCGAAGTTGTTATGCCACATGCTCTTTGGTCTTGTCTTCATGATGCTACGTTGCTTGATCTTCTCTGCCTCATGCTACGCTGCTTGACCTTCCCTGCCTCATGATGCTTGATGTCTTCTTCACCACGTTATTCTTTTTGATCGTCTTGTCTTCGTGTTTTTTACGCTGCTTGATCTTCTCTACATCAAGCCACACTGCTTGCCTTTGACAAAATCATGTTTTGCTGCTGGGTCTTCTCTGTATCATGTTAGGCTACCGAATCTTGTCTTTATGCTGCCAGGCTACTTGATCTTATCTACTTCATGCTGCGCTGCTTCACCCTCCCTGCCTCATCTCAGACTGCTTGATGTCGTATACATCAGGTTATGCTATTTGATCTGTTCTTCATGATGCTAGGCTGCTTGCTCTTCTCTATCTCCTGTTCTATCTTGGTGTTTTCGACATCAGATCTTTGATTTTTGATAGTTTGATCTTGCCATGGCGATGCTACACTGCTCGACCTTGACTACCTCATGTTGTGCTGCCTGATGCCCCCTACATCAGGTTGTGCTTTTTGATCTGGTCTGCATGGCTGCTTGATCTTCTCCGCCTCATGCTGCCGCTTGATCTCCCCTGCCTATCCCTGCGTCATGTTATGCTGCTTGATCTTCTCTGAATCATGTTATGCTACTCGATCTGGTCTTCACAATGCCACGCTGCTTGATTGTCTCTACCTCATGCTATGCTGCTGAACCTTCCCTGCCGCGCGTTATGTTTCTTGGTGTTCCCTGTGTCATGTCATGCTGTTTGATCTTGTCATCAAGACGGTACGTTGCTTGATCTTTTATACCTCATGCTACGTTCTTGACCTTCCTTTGTAATGTTGCTTGTGTTCTTTATATATATATATATTCTTGAGTTTTTTGTCTGGTCATGCTGCTACGCTCCTTCACCTTCTCTACCTCTTGTTAGGCTTCTTGGGCTTCCCTACCTCATGTGATGCTGCTTAATGTGCTCTGTATCATACTGTGCTATTCGGTCTTGCCCTCACGATGCTACACTGCATGATTCCCTACGTCAAACTACACTGCTTGACCTTCCCCAACTGATGTTATGCTGCTTAATGTTGTTACATCAGATCGTGTTACGCTGTTTGGTCTTGTCTTCATGATGCTACGCTGCTTGGTCTTCTCTACATCATGCCTTGCTACACAGCAAATGAATTTCATCAGCATAGGTTTTAGCACCCAAAACTATTCTGGGAGCACAAGTTTTGGGTGTTTGGCATCAGCTGCGTCACTAGTTGCCATTTTCTGGTTTCAGCTCGAAAAAGCGCTGGCGAGGTGAGGCGCCCAAAATTGCAGATTCGGTGACGGAACTGATGGTCAAAAGACAACAACCAACTCACTTTCATATATTTTTACCTCGCTGCCACAGCGTGCATAAGCGCTCTTGGAATGAAGAGACGGGCACGCCCTCAAACCTTTCGCCGTCAAGCAAACGCTGCGCAGCACCTGGTAAGTCTTGTATATACTCTATCCACCAAATAAACGCGAAGCGTCCATAGCACGGGTTAACCCCCACCTTATGTTCATACATTATCAGAAATGTAGGATCCACCCCCCCTACTCCTGAACCAGTTGGGGTCGGGGATTTTGGGAGCTTCCAGTATTTTTCATGACTTTGGTGGGCGTTCATGATTTTTCGCAATCTTTCGTAATCCTTTCGTGTTTTTTTCATTATTTTCGTGCCTAGTATCTGTTTTTTTTGGCATTCAAACTGCAATTCATGCTGAGCATTGGATGCAGAGGACATTGACGCACCTGTTCTTCTTTGGAACGCTCCGATTGATAGAAGTGTTGCTATGTCGTTGTTGTATTGTCGTCCGGATGGCCGGGAATACATTTGTCACTTTGGCTGGTGCTTCATTTTTTTTTTGATGTGTTTTTACGGTCACATTGTTTATACAATCGAACATGATATAGATAGATAGATAGATAGGTAGATAGATAGATAGATAGATCGATAGATAGCTAGATAGCTGGATAGCTAGATAGCTAGATAGCTAGATAGCTAGATAGCTAGATAGCTAGATAGCTAGATAGCTAGATAGCTAGATAGATAGATAGATAGATAGATAAGATAGATAAGATAGATAAGATAGATAAGATAGATAAGATAGATACGATAGATAAGATAGATAAGATAAGATAAGATAAGATAAATTAAGATAGATTAGATAGATAGATAGATAGATAGATAGATAGATAGATAGATAGATAGATAGATAGATAGATAGATAGATAGATAGATAGATAGATAGATAGATACGTAGATAGATAGATAGATAGACAGATAGATAGATAGACAGACAGACAGACAGATAGATAGATAGATAGATACGTAGATAGATAGATAGATAGATAGATAGATAGATAGATAGATAGATAGATAGATAGATAGATAGATAGATACGTAGATAGATAGATAGATAGATCGATCGATCGATCGATAGATCGATAGATCGATAGATCGATAGATCGATAGATCGATAGATAGATAGATAGATAGATAGATAAGATAGATACGATAGATAAGATAGATACGATAGATACGATAGATAAGATAGATAAGATAAGATAAGATAAATTAGATAGATAGATAGATGGATAGATAGATAGATAGATAGATACATACATACATATACATATATATATATTTAATCATTTATATATATTCTAACTATATGCATATTATGTATGTATGTGTGAAATGCATATGGCTTGGTATACTGAAGGTGCCGTATACGACTATATGTGCACATAACATCATACACCAAGTTACTATTTCGCTAGCAGCCAAGATGAATGCTTGTAGATAGGGTGTTCTTGTTCATATTGCCAACCACAGACTCATGTCAGGCAAACCTTCCAGTTTGGTGCCGAACCTGGCGGGAAACCTGGGAACAATCCATGACACCAACTTCAAAGCCATTCAGATTGTGGAGAACGGAACCGCAGATATGCAAGCATCGCTGAAATGGACTGCGAGCCTACTAAGTCAGGGCATTTTGGCTGCAATGCTGTGATGAGTGACCACTGGCTCAATTCCTCTTCAAAAATTCCCCCAATGCTTTGATGTCACCACCAAAAAACAAACAGACCTATAACGATTGCAACTCCTTTGTTCCGTACCTGACTGCAGTCTTCGAGGATTCTGTGTGCGAATGAAGGCTTTGCTGCCAGTGCAGACTGAGAATGGCCTATGCACGTTGTTGGTGAATGCAACACGTGGGCACATTCTGGAGCAAACACTTGCTCCTTGCCTGAGTCGAAAAACCCAATTACTGTTATATATATATGATATATGATTCATATATTACTACTTAGTGACTACTTCTCTTGTTGTTATCATGAAAGCTAGCGGTAGCTAGCGCGAGTTTCTTCTTGTCTTTAGCAAGGGATGGGGCGGACCAAATGCCAAACGTGTGATTTTTCACGCGACCCTCCCCCCTCTCCCTCCCCCTTCCCCCCAATGTATCTCGCCCAATTACATGCCAATACCACAGGATCACACGAACTAAGCCGCGTAGCATGTATATAATTGCAAAGCCACGTTGGCTTGGGCCACACAACCCCCCCTTAGGCCAATACCCCTCGGCGTAATTATGCACCTCATACAATTACAGTACACATCCCATCAATCAATTAATAGCGTGTTTCATGAGTGTATCAAACATACTTAAGCACCAGTAATCACTCGCGACAGCAGCTCAGTCCGTACACCTGGCTCAAAAATTGCATAAAACCGACCGAACTCATTCATATTTTTCAAGTTTTCATTCGGCTTCCCCCTCAGTATGCAAACATTAAAAAACATGATAAACATTGACTACAAGCATTACAGACCTCGAACTGTCAGTCATTGAGACAATACACACGCGAAGTTCCATAACATTCCGTAAATGTTCATCTTGTTCTCACACAGTCTTGAGGTAGTCACTTTCATCCAACACCAAAAATCATAGATAACTTTTAGCCATCCATTTCCTTAAAAATAATTCCAGCCAACTTCACGTTCTCATATCCACTCATAAAGTCCACTTCCTTCTTGAGCGACACCCATTACATCCTTAGCGTCTATTTAATAACCAATACCTGCTTAAGCTATGTAGTGGTATTACCACAAGTCGCATAATTAGGAGCTATATCACGTAGCTATCCTTGACACAAGCCGAACATTCGCATGCTAAACTATATAACTTGGGCTTCTCCCCCTGTAACATCTTGGAGGCAGGTGAGCAGGGGCTCAATCCCCCCACCTCCTCCCACCCCGAACCTACACAACCCATGCCACCCAGCCCACGCCACCAACCAACTTATTTCACCGAGTCACTCCGCGAAAGCATAAATATATAACTCCACCTCTCTCACTCCACCTTGCCCCTGCTTAGCTTTCGTTCACCAACCCTTGGGACTCAAGTCATTTATTATATTTGTTTATATGTGACTGTACATTGATGCGTTGTATGCATGTGTATTCACAGACATACATACATATACATCCATGCATGCATACATCGAACGTACGTGCGTACGTACGTACATATCTCAACCCTCTCCTTCGCTTCGCATGGCCTTTTCTGTTTGTTCGCTGCAACGGCCGAGGTGATAGAGCCGCCAACACAAATTCTGATGGGGGATCTGAAGATGTTGGTGGGCAATATCGGTCAGCTTGATGGCGTGGATCCAGAAAAACCATTGTGCAGGATGTTTCTGCTGCTGCCAAGCTGAAGCTGTATATCTAGAGAAGAATCAACCGATATCAACAGAGTATCATTAGAGATGTACAGATATGTGATGTGTGCTTTTGCGTATTTTTTCCGTTGCTGGGTCATTCACTGAAATATCATGAAACATTCAGTCCTATTACCAATTTTGATTGGTCGCGATGGGGAGGGACCTTGGGTATGCCTCAGGTTAGGACCACCAATGGCCAAAGGATTGGGGGACTTGGATGAGCTCCTCAAGTCCATGCCGTCCAGCGTTGATTTGGCTGACAGCTTTCTATCTGTCTTGACCGCCTGACTACTGGGATGTCAAGAATTGTCAACGTAGATAGCCTGGATCTCATGCCCTAAAGCCTCAAGGCATTTGGGGCTGAGTTATGTACAAAATGACATCCGCAACTGGCGCAAAGGTTTTCCAGTCTCTGAAGGAGATGCTTCCCCTTGCGGCCAACTTGCAGTTTCTTCGCACAGCGACAATTGACAAGAAAAGATGAGTTGCAGCTGCAAGACTGTGTTGTAAGCAGTACAGTAAAAAAATAACTTCAGAAGCTTCACCACAGGCCTGGCATGGCCTGGCGGCCTGGCATAAATGATTGCACCGGCCAGGAATTCGAGGAAATCTACAACCTTGCCATGAGCCTGACAGTGGAGAATGACCACGCTACTGTCGTCAGAGCAGCACCCTTGGATCGATTGATCGATTGGCTATAGATATAGTCTGCGATGGTGCTCAAAGTCATTCGTCACCGGTATGCCAGCGGCTGCCGATATGCTCTACTTAGATTACTTAGGTGAAGAATGGCTTTCATTCTCCTGCTGCTGGTGGCTATTGCGATCTGAAGCCGGAGCCTGAGTGCTATCGCATGGATGTAGTAGCTTTGGGCGGCTTTGGGTCAGTTGAAGTTGCGGGTTGTTCCTTTTGACTTGTGAGGCTCTTCCTTCTGATTGCTCACGACAAGCCTGAAGATGGGGCAATCGTAGGCTCAAAGGCGCTTCTTAGTCAGTTCAGAGTTGTTTCATGTTTTGCTTGATAGTGATAGTGATGATAGTGCAGAGTTTTGTATGTGACGTGCTGCAGCCTTTCGTTGTAGTGCTTTGAAATTAGTAGGAGTGTATTTGCGGCAGGTTTGTCACATATGTGAGCTCCAAGTCCATTTGAAGCAGTTCCTGGCGTGCAAGAAGTACACCCACCTCCCCTATGTGGCCCAACTGCAAAGCAGCGCGGGAACCCGCAGATTGTAAGAATATCCAAGCACAGGCTTTTATCAAATGTTACTTGAAAAAAGCCTGGAGTTAGAAGATTCTTGATTTGGATGGTATGTTATGGAGGTCCCGATAGGTCCCGCAGGTAGTTGGATTATGTTGGATTTAAAGATTCAATCATGAAATCTCATGAAGCAAGAGTAAGTTTTGTAAGTTGATTTAAGTTGATGTAAGTTGCACTTGCCTCTGTCAAGGTGATCGACCGGGGTGACTTTGACCAACTTTGAAAAGCAACGTGTCACAAGATGTCACAGGCATGGCGTCCTGCGATTACCAACATCGCTGGGACGGTGTAAATGAAAGCTTGCAACTAGTGCAGCTAGCTGCATGCGTGTTAACCCTGACATACCCTGACTGAGTGAAAGGGACTGCATGAGAAACACGTCAAGCGGTTTCTCTCCGTGCAGTGCATGTGTGATGAAGCTTGGAAAATCCAAGCAGTCTAGCATAGTCTAGCAGCCTGAAACCTGCAGTGATTTGCACAAAAACACTCCTTCAGTAGTATGGTGAGCTGGCCCCACGTATCCTGGATCTCACTAATTATATAATTCTTCAGTGCAATTTTGTGCAGATCATTCTGCTTCTAGATGCGTTTCTTTTTTTTGGTGTAAGTAGGCCGACATTTCGCTTGCAAAGTACGATTTAAACACAAGCGATTGATGAAGGCGGCTCGAAAATGCAATCAATCAGTATCAATCAGTTATAGAATCCGCACGCTCTATGCAATTCAATGAGCGTCGTCGCGCCAGCTGACCTTTTACGGCCTTTGAGCATTTGCACATCCATTGCTTTTCGGGTCAAGTCTTGGCAAACGCATGAATTTTCACATTTTTCACATGATAACATTTGTTTGGCCATGCTCTCTGGGCTTTCTGTGGAACGAACGTGTTTCATTTGCCTTCGTGGAAGACTGAGCTCTCTTAGCACATCCAGTGCACATGGACGGTTTGCAGAGTCAAAGCGGGGAAGACGAGCGCAGACCGCTTGGCACAGTACAGGACTTGCGAGCTCGGTGGGCTCGGTGGTTGTCTCTGGATGTCTTTTGGCATCAGAGCGAAGGTCAGTCAGGTCATGGAGCCGACGCACAAGCTGCCCGGGTCGACAGAGAAGTCCAATTGCAACCTTTGCATCGCAGGTGACCTATGAAACTGTCCAGAAGGCTAAGTGTGATGCTCCAGAGGAGTCCGCAGGTAGCAGCATTTTAAGGCCTTTGCCTGAAAAGATACGGAACGAAATTGGTCGATTTGACCGCGGTCGTCACGCAAACCCAGATGCTCTGGAAAATGATGCGTTTTATCTACCAGGATTGAATTGCAGCCCTGATGACATGTCAGTCTTTGACCGTTTGATGATAGAATTGGACTTCAAGGATTGCTGGCTGGAGACAGGCATGAAATTTTCCCGTCAAATTTGCATTGGGGATGAACATACCTTGGCCACAGCCCCGACTTATCGTGCTTTGGTCGAACGAGTTTCCAAGGTCTTTGGTGTTCGTGTGGTCAGGACGCTGGTAAATCTGTATAGAGATGGCACTGACTGGTGCAATTTGCACTCTGATCAGTATCACCAGGGTGGTTACCCAATTGACCTCACAGTGGGTGCAACATTTGGAGACCCTCGCAGACTAGTGTGGGTAGAGAAGAGCAATACTCGGCACAAGATTGAACTCCCACAGCTCAACGGTGATGTCTTTGCCTTTTCGGACAAGATCAACAGCACCTGGAGGCACATGATTCCGCAAGAAGGGCCTGACTGTGGACCCCGCATCTCTGTCATTGTTTGGTGTGACCGCCACAAGTCCACAGCAGATTGGATGGGAGCCCTGGGTAGTTTTCCGCACATGCTTCATCACAACCCCAAGAAGAATGGCAACGATTACGAGGCACAGCCCGGGTCTCGGCCACGCAGGCGGAGAGCAGCTCCCAGCATGGGACCCATCAGGCCACAACGGTTGCAAAGCTTGGAAGATGATGAGCTTGAAGAAGCCGTTGACAGTGCACAGAAAGCATTGACTCTGCAAGGCGCACAGCAAGTCTTTGCAATTCTGCGCGGCATCAAGCTGATAGAAAATCGCACTTGGGCGATTCCCAAAGGTTGGTATGCACTCCATGCAGGTGCACAAATGATCAATGATGAGCGTGCCAAAAGAACCTTAGAGGCCTGGCCAGAAGCACCTCCTGAAGAAGAGCTTCCACACAGAGCCATTGCTGGCCTCATCTACATTGATCAGATTCGAAAACCTCAGGAATGTAAAAGAGGATACATCTGGGCACGTGGGCCAATTTGCAATGTGATCTCCCGTGCGGTGGAGCTCCCCAGACCTGTGAGGTGTCGTGGGGATCGAGGTTTGTGGGAGCTGGGTACATTGAAAGATCGTATCCGCTCAGAGCTTGCAAGGGCCGGGAAGAATGTGTCAGTGAGACACTTCGATTTGACACCTGCTCTTGGACCTCGTTAGCTTTCTTGCGCCTTTTCAGCCTTGAGAGTCAGTCTTAGTTAGTAGATCTTTGTAGGTCTTTGTATTTATTTCGCATATACCACTTGTGCGGCTTGAAACTCTGAGTAGATATTGGTACGCCATGCTGGCATGCAGTTCGGATATGTTTCGGACCCCTTTGAGTCCAATGACGGACTTGACAAGGAGGTGAACGAATTTGCAGTCAGTGTGCGGCATCGGTGAGTGAAGTCCTGACAGTCAGACCCCGCATAACTTTGTTGCAAAACACTGGCCCTGGGTCGCCGTGCATGACACGCCAAGGCTCTGTTGATTGAAGAAAGTCGTTGATTGTCGCGCCAAGGTGGCTCGCCTCCCCACCTTCAAGAAGGAGGGCATACAAGTTAGCAACTCACCACATCTCACCACGATTTATCACTGACAATCAGGCCGTCTTGCTAATTAGCAAAATGGGCCCTCTTGTTGGAAGTTTAAGCTCCTTGCTGATCTGGTTAGGTCCGTGATGTCGTGTTCTTGATCGAGAAGAAAAGGGAAGGCATCGCTGCAACACGACGGGCTTAAAAATCTGAAAAGGGAGTTGACCTGCAGAGTCTAATTTTGCAACATTTTGCAGCCAGAGGCAGATCTTCAGGTGGTCCTGTGACGGCACTGGCTGCAGGCGCTGTGCCATGGTTCCATGATGGCCTTGCCGCATTGAACATCATTGTTCGAAGACAACTTCCACTGCATATTTGTGCATCTCGAATCTTGTCATAATATGTCTATATATTATTTCTACGGATATATATGCATGCATAAACATGCAAACATGCATACATGCATACATGCATACATGCATCCATGCATCCATGCATCCATGCATCCATCCATGCATGCATCCATCCATGCATGCATCAATGCATGCATCCATCCATCCATCCATCCATCCATCCATCCATCCATACACACATACATATCATATAACATAGACCCGGGCAAGCCGGCGGCGGAAGTTTCCCAAACATAAATGACCTATAGTTCAAAGACACAAGGTGAACGACAGTGGTCCTTCCACTCTCACCCGGACACACAGCACCCCCTCAGACACTCCACACCTCACACTGCCACACATGCCTATTGCCACTCAAAACTTCAAACTTCACACTCCACATCACACTTCCACACTCTCACTGCTTCCTTCAACACTCCAAAACTCACACTTCACACTTCACAATCCACACTTCACACTTCACACTTCACAATCCACACTTCACACTTCACACTTCACAGTCCACACTTCACGCTTCGTACTTCACAGTCCACACTTCACACTTCACAGTCCCCACTTCTCACTTCGCATTTCACACTTCACACTCCACATTTCACACTTCTCACTTCTCACTGCTTCCTTCACACTCCAAACTTCACACTTCACACTCCACATTTCACACTTCTCACTGCTTCCTTCACACTCCAAACTTCACACTTCACACTGCACACTTCACACTTCACAGTCCACACTTCACACTTCACACTTCACAGTCCACACTTCACACTTCACACTTCACAGTCCACACTTCTCACTTCTCACTTCGCACTTCACACTCCACATTTCACACTTCTCACTTCTCACTGCTTCCTTCACACTCCAAACTTCACACTTCACACTCCACATTTCACACATCTCACTTCTCACTGCTTCCTTCACACTCCAAACTTCACACTTCACACTTCACACTTCTCACTTCGCACTTCTCACTTCACACTTCTCACTTCTCACTGCTTCCTTCACACTCCAAACTTCTCACTTCTCACTGCTTCCTTCACACTCCAAACTTCACACTTCTCACTTCGCACTTCACACTTCACTCACACTTCACACTTCACAGTCCACACTTCACACTTCTCACTGCTTCCTTCACACTCCAAACCTCACACTTCACACTTCACACTTCACACTGCGCTCTTCGCACTCCACACTTCACAGTCCACACTTCACACTTCCCACTTCACACTTCTCACTTCTCACTGCTTCCTTCACACTCCAAACTTCACACTTCTCACTTCGCACTTCACACTCCACACTTCACAGTCCACACTTCACACTTCTCACTTCTCACTGCTTCCTTCCCACTCCAAACTTCACACTCCAAGCTTCACACTTCTCACTTCGCACTTCACACTTCTCACTGCTTCCTTCACACTCCAAACTTCACACTTCTCACTTCGCACTTCACACTCCACACTTCACAGTCCACACTTCACACTTCTCACTTCTCACTGCTGCCTTCACACTCCAAACCTCACACTTCACACTTCACACTCACTCTTCGCACTCCAAACTTAAACTTCACACTCCACACTTCACACTTCTCACTTCTCACTGCTTCCTTCACACTCCAAACTTCACACTTCACACTTCGCACTGCACTCTTCACGCCCCACACTTCACACTGCACTCTTCACACTCCACAGTTCATCTCATCTGAGCTCTTCTCACCTTATCCCAGCTCATCTCTTCTCATCTCGTCCCTTCTCATATGTCATCTATTAAGCTTTCATTAATCAATTCCCAGCACTACTACTAATCACTGTCAAACCCTTGATGCACCCACTCCAATACGATTTACGAAGTCCAGCTGCAAAAGACAATAGTATTGCGCATGCAGCCGCGGCACCAAGCAACTTTGACGCAGCCATCACAATGCGATCTGCAGAGACTGAGTTGCAAAACACAATAGAACTACGCGCAACTGGGTCGGAAATTGCAGCTCCAAAACCGGATCTCGACGCTAGAGCGAAAAAAAAGACGATTTTGAAGCACTTTTTGAAAGGATTTTTAAAAAGAAAATCGCTGGCGCCAAAATGGAGAAAATCTGCTGACAAATCACTGTCGCAGCCTTCATGCAGCCACTCCAATAAGATTTACGAAGTCCAGCTGCAAAAGACAATAGTATTACGCATGCAGCCGTGGCAAGAAGCAACCTTGACGCAGCCATTACAATGCGATCTGCAGAGACTGAGTTGCAAAACACAATAGAACTACGCACAACGGCGTCGGAAATTGTAGCTCCAAAACCGGATCTCGACGCCAGAGCGAAAAAAAGACGATTTTGAAACACTTTTTAAAAGAATTTTTAAAAAGAAAATCACTGGCGCCAAAATGGAGAAAATCTGCTGACAAATCAATGTCGCAGCCTTCATGCAGCCACTCCAATACGATTTACGAAATCCAGCTGCAAAAGACAATAGTATTACGCATGCAGCCGTGGCAAGAAGCAACCTTGACGCAGCCATTACAATGCGATCTGCAGAGACTGAGTTGCAAAACACAATAGAACTACGTGCAACTGGGTCGGAAATTGCAGCTCCAAAACCGGATCTCGACGCCAGAGCGAAAAAAAGACGATTTTGAAGCACTTTTGAAAAGGATTTTTAAAAAGAAAATCACCGGCGCCAAAATGGAGAAAATCTGCTGACAAATCACTGTCGCAGCCTTCATGCAGCCACTCCAGTACGATTTACGAGATCCAGCTGCAAAAGACAATAGTATTACGAATGCAGCCACAGCACGCAGCAACCTTGACGCAGCCATTACAATGCGATCTGCAGAGACTGAGTTGCAAAACGCAATAGAACTACGCGCAACGGCGTCGGAAATTGTAGCTCCAAAACCGGATCTCGACGCCAGAGCAGAAAAAGTTGATTTTTGCATCGTTTTTATAAAGAATTGAAATAGAAAATGAAAGCAGGCAAAATCTGAAAGAATCCAGGAACAATCCCTAGCAAAACACAATGGTATTACGTCCTCAGCTCGTCCACCGAAGCATGTGAAACCTTCTAGACATTGCGGGAACGATCCTCCAGTTGCAAAGCACAATGGAATTCCATCGGCAACTCCTCCACCAGCACCACTTGCAATGCCATTTGCATTGCGGGAACGATCCTACAGTTGCAAATCACAATGGAATTCCATCTGCAACTCATCCACCAGCACCACTTGCAATCCCATTTGCAGTGAGGGAACGATCCTAGAGTTGCAAATCACAATGGAATTCCATCAGAAACTCATCCACCAGCACCACTTGCAATCCCATCTACATTGCGGGAACGATCCTACAGTTGCAAATCACAATGGAATTCTGTCGACAACAAATGCACGAAACACAGGTGACACCCCATTTACAATGCGGAACCGATCCGAGAATGATCCGCCCATGATCCGAGCATGATCCGACCACACACGAGACCGTCTCGCAACCGTCGCACAGCAGAGGTAGATCATCGAGGTTCGGGGACGGACTTTGTATGGAAAAACATAGGCTTTCGTGCATCTGCTATCTCTCAAAAACGCATTTCGTGCGAGACTTCCTCCGAAACTCCATCGGCAACTCCTCCACCAGCACCACTTGCAATCCCATTTACAGTGAGGGAACGATCCTAGAGTTGCAAATCACAATGGAATTCCATCAGCAACTCATCCCCCAGCACCACTTGCAACCCCATTTACAATGCGGGAACGATCCTACAGTTGCAAATCACAATGGAATTCTGTCGACCGCACATGCACGAAAAACAGGTGACACCCCATTTACAATGCGGAACCGATCCGAGAATGATCCGCCCATGATCCGAGCATGATCCCACCACACACGAGACCGTCTCGCAACCGTCGCACCGCAGAGGTAGATCATCGAGGTTCGGGGACGGACTTTGTATGGAAAAACAAAGGCTTTCGTGCATCTGCTATCTCTCAAAAACGCATTTCGTGCGAGACTTCCTTCAAAACTCCATCGGCAACTCCTCCACC